ATTGCCCAGCAGTTGCCTTAGCAACTGAGGACAAATTCCCAAATATAACCACTAATGAGAATAGCAGGGACACTAATACACTGAGTGGCCTCAGCTATAATATATACAGTACAGTACATATACCAAAGTTAAAACTTAAATGGAATAAAATAACGTTTATACCTTACAGAGTGGCAAATAATACCAAATTTAAAGCTTTTAAAAGAGTAAAAATTTCACAGGGTTACATATATATATTATACATATATATATTATATATTATATATATATTATATATATATATATGTATTATATATATGTATATTATATATATATATATATATAATATATTATATATATGTGTATGTATATGTACGTGTATATATATAGGGCCTATATCCTTTTTAAGTCCTGTATCATTCATAGTAACGTTGACGCTTGGAAGGCTCTGGTTTATACGACGTCTTTGACCCGGTTTTTAGCTGTCTTTTGTGTACTTGGAAATTGTAATTTTCCATCAGATGAGCTTATAGTATTTTTAAGTTTTGATGGTCCTTTCATAAATTCTTAAACAATTTTTCTTTGTCTTCGTCACTTTTTACAACCCAGTTTACATACTTTATTCTGCACTTCATCCAAGGAGAAAGCTTGAAGTTACCTGCTCCATGCAGTGCTCGTCTCATTTCCAACAATTGTAATTTTACAATGTTATCTATTCGGTCAACTAGTTGAGTTACCTTTAAACATTTCTAGTTCGTGCTTAGTTTCAGAATATTGTTCATGCTTTCACACGAATTGTTCTTCAAGTCAATTGGGATCCATTTATTTGTTCCACGTGTTTTAATAACAAAGTTCAAAATTTTATCAGAAACTTTGTATTTGTTGTGTAATTCAAAAGATTTCTTAGCAAAAGTATACTCATCGTAAGGTCACCAAATATTTCATTATTATTTTATTCCTGTCTGTACGATTCATCCCTACATTTTCAGTTAAATATCTTGTCACATTGTTTTGAATATGTCACATACATAAAACCAATTTTGAAGAATGGAATGATTTCTGAATGGCCTTTGCAAGTGCGGCTTTCCTTGTCAGATCCTAACACAAGGTTTTCGCCACTTATTTGTGACCCACATAGCCTCTCGCTGAGTCTTGCTTGTATATGCGAGAAGAAGCGTTGTATACAACCCATCCCAATGAAGAAAAACTGGGTGTAACTGTGACTCTTTTCTCATCAAGTTCATATGATGATATACAGTTGTGGTGACAAAACATGGCCTAATGTTGAAAGTCCTGTCAATTCCTGGTACACTTGGATGGGATGACGTTTCCATGCAGAACTGCGCAATGTCCTGTAATTGTTCTTTGCAGTATAGTATAACAAATGGGGGTTTCCCTATTGTGTGAATTATTTCTTGGATGAATGGGTTTTGTTGGTAGTCGTTTATTAGAGCCTGTAGATCATCTGCTGTATTCATGCGGTGTTGTCCTTTTTGGCGGGCTTCCTTGGATACTGAATGTTTTATATTTTGAAATTGTTTCAGATCTCTAAGTGCACAGTGTGATCCATTTAATACGAGTTCTTGGTAGACACCGCGTGGTGTTTTTATCATAGATTTGACCTTCTGCTCAACGTTTTCTTTGGTTCGCACAAATTCATGTGTAGTCTGTTTCGAATTTCCATGGGGTGCACTCATTTCTGGGTATTTGCCCACATATTCAACTAGGGCATATTTTTGAAGTTGTATAAGTTCCTGTGGACATTTGATAATGCTCGATATGCGTTTCTTGTATGTATTCTCTCGCTTTAAAGACATAATATCGTTTAAATGTAATTATTTCGTTTTCGTCTGGTGGTGGCTTAAGTGGTGTCCTTACACCTTTCTTTGTCTTGCAATATTTATTGTCTTTTATGCCTACGTACTTCAAATTATCATTTTTAATTATATAAATATGCGTCTTGCTTGAAGAGTTTGAACTCCATGCACCACAGTCATCAATATAGGAACCTTTTTTGCCTCGTTTTCGGAGTGCATTGTAATTTTTGATTGTCCAACTTTGCGGGGACAGTCTCTAAAACTTGTTGAGCATCAGATATTCCTATCAGGACTTGCTCTAGTGATAGAAAATGACCAGGTCCCTGCTGAGCTCCATTCAGCGCTGTAGGTGTCGGAGGACTGGTATACACAGACTAATATAAAAATTTAAAAAAAAACTATTATACTGTACAAACATAACATTTATTGTAAGTAGCAGTGGTCATGATATTACGTAGCACGGTACGTAGGACTACGGTAGTGAGGGGCGGATCCAGAGATGTCCAAGGGGGGGGGGGGTACCGAAAGGGACCAAAATTTTTGCCAATCGAGGTAACACTACGCAGGAGGTCCGCGAAATGTTTGTCTTCTAGACGCCCGAAAATACTATGTGAGGCGTTTTGGGCGATCATGTTTTCCTTTTTCTTCCTTCCTTTCCCTTTCCTTTTTTTTCTTTTTGTTTACCTTCCAAAAGGGGACCGGGCCAGGTCGCTCCCCCCTCCCCACTAAATCTGCCCCTGGAGTACGTAGCAGTAGTAGTACGTACGGTAGTAATAGTACGCTAGTAGAAGTAGTGCATAG